GGGAGTTCACGTGACGGAGGCTTTGTAAACCCATCGGGCAGATGAGTCAGTGAAGGTCAGAGAGGGAAGACAGGAACCCCAGGGCCCACCGCAGGCCAGACGCAAAACTCGGGGTGGGGTGGGGTGGGGTGGGTGGGTGAGGGAGGTCTGGGTGGGCAGGGGCAGTGGCTCAGCCCTGGCCGCCTATGTGTGGCAGGCCCCGGCAGGCCCAGGGGAGGCCCTTCCTTGTTGGCTCTGTGGAAGAGATGTGGTTCCCATGGGAACAGAAAAATCCACCTGCTGATTGGCTGAAATGAGCGAGGGTCTGGAGGTGGGCCAGGCACTGTGTGCAAAGCCTCCCAGCAGTCTGGGCCGGAGGGGGCTGAGGGGGCCGCCTCCTCGCTGGCTCTTGGTGCACGTCTGTCTCCCAGGCTTTTATGCTTCTCCTTCCAGTGCCTAAGCATCGCCCACCACCACTCCCACAGGCCCGTCTGCCCTGCACCGGCTCTAGGATAACCGGAGGGCTCGGCCGCACAGGTGCCATTTGCTGCCTGGCCCAGGTTCTCATCCGAGCAGAGGTGTGACTCCGGGCAGCCATGGTCTTTGCTGTTCCTGTGTCAGTCTGACTGGGATGAGGCCGAAAGGAAAGTGAGTTCAAAAAAGTGTTTTCCCCAAAACACTTCTCTGCCCTCCTTTTCTTGCTCAGAGAAGTGGATGAACTCAGGGCTGACTCCCACCCATTTCAGACAGGGAGCTCAAGGCCTCGAGAGGTGTGGCCCAGTAACAGAAGCCCCGGAACAGGAGGAGGCAAGGCCCGGAGGGGAACCCACGCAGCCAGGACGGGCACCAGGCAGTCCCCTGCGTTACGGTTTAATCCCAGCAGCAACACTCGGGATGGGTAGGTGTCATCATCTCCAATTTACAAACGAGGACACGGAAGCTCGGAGCGGGGATGGGACATGCCCCACATATCGCAGCCAACCGTGGCGGAGCCAAGATCTGATCCCGCTCCGAGCACTAACCTCCCTGGGCCGGGGCTCCCAGGAGGAGGGGAGGGCAGGCCAGGCCAGGCCGCCTCCGCAGGGGAGGCCGAGGGAGGGAGGTGCAGACTAGAGGTCTGAGGACCGGGCGGCAGAGGGTCTCAGAAAGGCTCTCCTTTTTGCTAAGGCGGAGCCCCCACCTGCAGTGGCCTGGCTGCACCCTTCCTGCGACGGGGACCTCATCACCCAGGTCCCGCTGGCAGGACCTCTGCTGCCACGAGAAATGCGGAAAAGGCCTAAGCCTGTCCCCTAGGTTTACCCGTTGGCCCAAGGGTCTCGGGGGAGGCAGAGGTGAAGGTTCACGGGGCCTTGATCACATGATCCCGGCAGAGCAAGCAGTTGGGGCAGGCAGACCGGGGTTTGTGTCTCAGCCACCCTGTGGCCTTGGCCAAGCACTCCTCCAACCCCGTGCCTCGGTTTCCATACCTGTCACGCAGCTAATAGCTCTGCCTCACAGCCTTTAAGGAGAGAAGCAGTTTGCAAAAGCGTTTGGCACCCAGTGGGCCTGAAAGAGAAAGTCGCCCCATTTCTCAAGTGACAGAACAAGCTCTAGAGGCAGAGTATCCGGGTTCAGACCCCGCTTTGCAGCTCACCTGCCACGTGACTTTGGCCAAGTCACTTACCCTCTCTGGGTCTCAGTGTGCCCATCTCTAAAATGGGTGTGATAATAACACGGTCC